CTTGGTATTGCCGTTCATTTAAACTCGAATGTTTCATCTTCTCAAGAAGTACCTGAGCAGCCGCTTGGTTCTGTAAAGGAACAGCTTCCACCACTGCAACATAGGAGATGTTATGGCACTAACGGGCATTAGAGTTATTTGGCCTTATAGGGATGAATGATAGATATATCATCTAAGGTTTCAATGCAGTTGATAGATGAATATGCCAAACTAATTTAATGCGCCAAAACATTCTGCTATTGCCAGATGATAACGCCAAACCAATTTAAGGCGTCAAAACGTTCTGCTATACAATGAGCTGTTGATCAAGAATGAGGAGAGAAAATGTAGATGGCACACCTTGTTTAGGTCTTGTATCGGAACTGCTTGGCTTTTCCTGATTTTCATCTTTGACAGAAATTTTTGGATCAGAATCTACAGCATTCTTCTGTAAATTCTTATCTGTACCTTTTTTGTTCCCATCACCTTCACTAGTTTCGCCTTTTTCTCCACTGGTACGTTTTACGGAGCTTTCTGCAGCAGTAGGTACAATGTTCCTAGAAGTTGTCTTGTAGTAATCTGTCAACCATATATGCTGACAAATTAATTTTTCTGTTGCATTGTCCAAACTTCCACAAATGAAGAGCAAGTTGATATACCACCATTTTACCAAACAATGAAAATGCAGTCACTCAAGTTTAAGTATATAAACAATGGAGACCGAACGGCATCACATTTGATTACCAAGCCAAGGGAAAATGACTGCATTGTAATTTTTTAGGCTACATGAGTCATCATAGGCTACATAAACAAGGATTTGGGTGGATATGTTTATGCTAAAATACATTTGGGTGGAATTAACTATTAAGTCCCTGCAGCAGTAATGAATAGACAATGTATCTTGTACAATTATGCACACTAACAACATGACAAAACCAAATTTGGTAGATAATTCTATTTGCTAACAAAGATTGGCCGAACGTTGCAAAGTGAAACAAACATGCGACAAATTACTAGAAGAAAATTAAATGGCAATGAGCGAAATAAGGAAACCCTGCTTACCATGGTGATGGGAACCTGTTCGAATCTGCAACTCCTCAAATGGAGGAGGGCCATCACCAGCTTTGTTTTCCTGAGGTTTCCTTCCGGATGAACGGGACAAACTAGAGTATTTTTTCTTCATCTGCCATTCTTCAGCGAGTGACTGCACATAACCACCCAATACAGTCACCTCTTTCGAAGTTAAACATAATAGACCCTCACGTACCACAGCCTTATTTTCTAGACGGACCTGCCAACGAAAAAGTACAAAATATCAACAAATTACAAAGGTCTTAGGAGTTCCATAAGACATATACACACTAGTTTCAATCCTGGAATGATGCACGCAAGCCACAACATGAATCTGCCAATTAATTCCTATTGGTTTAGATCTTAATCCAACCTATTATATATACGCATGAGACTTAGAGAAACATACACAAGGAGAACAAACTAGATTGATATGTAATAAACTAATACCTTAGTACCAGGAGTCACATCATTGTTAATCGATGGAATATGAGAGTACTCAAGTGCGGATATCTCTGTCTTTCCATCAGTCAGAGCAAATTTTAGCACTCGCTTACCATTTGAGCTTCCCAGAAATTCCTCTGCACTACTTCTTGTAACATCCTTAACAGAACTTATCTATGCTCGCAAAAGAAAAGCATTGAAAACAAATTAAACCCAATATACAAAAACTTGAAGTTCCAAAAGCAGCATGAAACAACAACCTGCAACTAAACCTAGCATTCTGAAACTTTTCCAAAGCTTTCTTTCAAATATGGTTCTACTTACATAATTACACAAAACCCATCAATCTAAGAGCATAATAAGAATGCCATTACAAATTATACGCATTTATAAGCTCATGTTACTGTATTTAGCTGTTTGTTTCCAGTGATGAAGGACAAGAAGCAAATTTACCTGGAGAACTTTGGGGCCTTGAAGATGAGAGCACCTTCGTAACTCGGTCCTGTCTGGAAGGGACTTACCTCCGATTAACCTAATATCCATGTTAAGCAGCTCCGCCTCAACTGACTCAACGACCGCGCCTGTTTGATTACCGCCGTCGATCAAGGAGGAGATTTCAGTGACCAGTGACTTCAAGTAATCGACGTCTCCGAAGCACCATCCCCGGCTAGTTAGGGCATTTATCACGACGGTCTGGATTTGACCACCGGCGGACGAGCTGGATGTTCCCTCCATTGTCTCGACCCTCAGGGATTGCCGGCGAAAACATTAAAGGATTCGTCAGAGAAGTGTAATATATTATTAATTTGGGGTAAAATGGTAAATAGTTTTATATAGGGAAAAATACCAAAATAACCCTCAGTTACTATGTTTATGCAAAATCAACCTCTATCTATAAAAATTGCAAGTAAACCCCTTCGTTTAATACAACACGAGCAATGACTTATAAAGTGGGCCTAGTAAGCCCAATATGTAAGTAACTCCCAGATTTGAAGAGAGTGTGCCTATGTAGCTGCTTCCTCCTTCCTTGTGGAATCGATAAAACAGAAATGACGATGGACGATGGCAATTCCGTCTACGTCGGCGGTCTCCCTTACGACGTCAGCGAGGAAGCTCTCCGCCGCGTTTTCTCCGTTTACGGCAACGTCCTCACCGTCAAGGTCAATTTCTCTTTCCTCTGTTTTGTTGCTCCATACTTACTAATTTAGGTTTTTGTTCTGACTTCTGACTCCTTTTAATTTCTGAGTTTTATCTTCGAATCCCTGTTCCTGAGAATTATCTAGCTTCCTATTGGATGAATTCTATATGGTTCTTACTCATTTGAGCTGGTTAGTGTTTTTATTGACATATTTGTACTGTTATTGGACTATGCAGATTGTTAATGACCGTAGTGTAAGAGGGAAATGCTATGGCTTTGTTACATTTTCTAATCGTCGATCGGCTGATGATGCTATCGAAGACATGGATGGAAAAGTATGT